TCAACAAAAATGGAGAACTAGAGGCTGGGTTTGATGTCATCAATTGGGTCACATTCCCAAATAAGTCCTTCAAGAAAGTCAAGATTGGTGGAATAGGGCCTGTGACTTCCCAAAAGGACATGCTAACGATCTATGAGGAAGCCATCATTTGGCCAAGTAGGTTTAACCAGGTAGGGTAAAGCATATGTTTGGATCATCCAGGATCCCATTTTCATCCAACAGACCTTGGTTGATGGTGAAACAAGCTAAGCCAAGTGGTCTGGGTTAATAGTTAGTTTCCAGAATACTAGAAAATCTCAAGGCTGTAGGCAGTTGAACAAACTTGCACAAAGAGGATGGAGGTGAACTACCACCACTGTGTTTTCAATAAAACTACATGGACCTATTCATTTGTTAAGTAGAAGATGAACCTGACTCAAGGAGGGTGTTACCTTAACATTGTTGAAAATACATGGCAGAGACATTGAGCTGTAGCTCTGTAAATCCCATAGTATGTTTCCCTCTTCCCTGTTTTTATTGACATGAGTTGCAAGACTTCCCACCAGACCTGATAAAGTGGGAGCTTACATGGAGAATAACTATTACAACACGGTCTTGGAAAAAACAAAGCATTCTTTCTTTCCTTTATGAACAGGCCCGGCCACTTTCTCTGTGTAATCACTATTGCCAGTTGGGTTATGCTAAGAGCAAAATAGAAGGGAAGCCATTTTGTTGCTATGATTGTCTTCGCTGTCCAGAGGGGAAGATTTCCAATGTGATAGGTGAGTGGTGAAAGACGAGAGATGCAGAGTTTCCAGATGTGCTGATATATTAGGTGGTGTAGATATTCACTTCAATGCAGCCAAATTTCTCCCTCAGTTGATAGTTGCAATGTCAGGGTATAATCTGATATGACTATAGATCTTAATGCTATTTTCTCACATAGTGAAAAGGTCTCTATTTATATCTCTCTTAATTTATTTTCTCTGTGCTGGTCACATAATGGCAATCATGGGATGTTGAGATATTTGATATTCAGGCTATGCAGATCAAATCTCTAACAACTGCTTCAGACTGCTCATGAGCACCAACATAACATCCAACTGCAACATTTTCAAGCTGTGATATCATGAAAGCTGTCCTCTGACTGCTCCAGACCTGCAGGATCATCCTACAATGGGTCCTGCTTTTTCTGATACAAATCCTCAAATATCACAGAGGCTGCTGGCTACTGAGGGCAAGGCCACAACTTCTAAAGCCCTGCTCCTCCAATTCAGAGTCTTTCTCATCAGATAGGAGCATAATTGTTTGCTAGAATATGGTATCAGTCATCTCCCAGAATGTATTTTGACTTCACAGTCTAGACAACAACTCTGGATTTCCTGGTGAACTCCCATCCAAGTTCCAACCTGGACTGTCATGTGTGACCTTTTCAAGATTAGCAAAGATCTGCAAGGTGATGTCCAGTGCTGGCGCTAAACAACAGGCCAAATGGAATTGTTCACTGTTACTAAGTATGGGCTTAAAATGTTCCTATGTGTGAAACCTTGCGACAACTATATTTCTACCAAAGGAAAGTAGCTAAGTAGATTTGAAATGGAAAGGAACCCAAATATAAGCAAACCAAAAAGGAAAGGGGAAAAAAAACCTAAATGGGAATGTATGTCCATGTATGAATCTATGGACCTATGAATATATATCTAATGGCATGGAGAGATCAAATACATACATTAAGTATTTTTGTCATCCACCCCCCCCCCAACCCCTTGTACAAAAGAAAAGAATCTATTAGGAAAGACTTTACCTATATAGCCAACAAATGGGGGGGCATATTTGACAGAATCTGTCTTGAAAAATATTTCCTATCTTCCCAAACTTTGATGTCACTGTCGTGTTCGATTCTGATTTTTTCAGTTTAATTTCAGTGCAACCATCTTCCTAACCTGATTCTTTTTCCTAGATATGGATGACTGTTTCTCATGTCCAGAAGAT